CTTTGACGGCACCTACTACACGTTCCTGGACAACTGCACCTACGTGCTGGTGCAGCAGATCGTGCCCGTGTACGGCCACTTCCGCGTGCTCATCGACAACTACTTCTGCGACTCCGAGGACGGGCTGTCCTGCCCGCAGTCCATCATCGTGGAGTACCGGCAGGAGCGCGTCGTGCTCACCCGCAAGCCTGTCCGCGGGGTGATGACCAATGAGGTGGGGCCATGCACAGGGTGGGCGGGCCGCTGGGTGATGACCAATGAGGTGGGGCCATGCACAGGGGGGGGCCCGGGTGGGCGGGGCGGAGGCTGACGGCCTGTCCTGTTCCCCGTGTGTCCCCGTGTGTCGCGTGTCGCCGGGTCTAGATCATCTTCAACAACAAGGTGGTCAGCCCGGGCTTCCGGAAAGGCGGCATCGTCGTCTCCCAAGTCGGCATCAGGATGTACGTGACCATCCCCGAGATCGGCGTCCAGGTCATGTTCACGGGCCTCATCTTCTCGGTGGAGGTGCCCTTCAGCAAGTTCGCCAACAACACGGAGGGGCAGTGCGGTGAGCCCCCCTCCCCCCCTCCTCCCGGCTCCGGGAACGCCAGCCCCGTCCCTGGTCATTAAATGCTGCTGACAGTGTCCACTGGGAGGACGCTCCCCGCCGGGGAGTCCCTGGGAGGGGCCGGGTGCTCGGCAGGGTGCAGCCGCCCTGAGCGCTGAGCCTGCGGGGACACCCCATCCCCAGGCCCCACCTGTCCCTCCTCCTGGGAACTGTCCAGGGTCCAGCTTCCCGGGGTGAGGGAAGCACAGGGTGGTCGGGGACCCACTGGTGCAGCTTGAGGACACTGGCCCCGGAAGGTGGGCGTGGCTGCCTGACTCCGTCCCGCCCTCTCCCCCAGGCACCTGCACCAATGACCCCAAGGATGAGTGCCGCCTCCCTGGCGGGGCGGTGGTGACCTCCTGCTCGGACATGTCCGGGTACTGGAAGGTGACAAACCCCGACCAGCCGTCCTGCCACGGGCCTCCACAGACACGCCCTACCGTGGGGCCCACGACCCCGCCTGCCCCGTGCCCGCCCTCGCCAATCTGCGAGCTGATTCTGAGCGAGTGAGATTCTGGGAGCGGTTGTGGGGGGCGGGGGGGCTGTTCGGCTGACCCCACCATCGGGGCTGGTGGAGAGAGGTGGGCCTGCGGGCTCCCGGGAGGCGGGCA